TATTATTCCCATTATCGATTCCGGTGTTAAAGCAATTTCAACCTTCCGAAATCTTTGAGCAGCACAGGCGGGGCGGTACCAGAAGTGAGTGCAGAGCAAGCCATGTAGCGTCGATCTCCAACAGTCGCCGCAGTCTTCTTGTCGGTGGCAGCTTCTGCATCTACCGATTATACCCGACGCTATCGAGATCTACCGAGTCGAACGGGCCGAGGTGGTAGCTGATAGTCGTTGTTGCCTTTGCAACTGCAAAGGATTAGTTACATACCCACTCCCCGTTTTCAGACGGCAAGGAAATTTTCGAGCGAGCAAAGGGACAGGATTACAATAGTCGCCGGCGCTGAAATTAACGCAGGTTCGCGCTGAACCTACGCGGCAGCTCACTGCCTACGCAGGCCCATACCACTGCCACGAACCCGACCAAGCCCATCGATACTTGTTCAGCAGCAGCAGCAGCGGCAACTAACAAACGTAAACTTACTATTTCGGCTGGTGCTATTACTGCCGCCGCTGAATTACTCGGCAGTTGTCGACCGTCGCAACAGAGTCGCCACAGCTGCTGCTGCCACCGCGGTCTGCCATGGTTCGTAAGAATTCGACTAGACTAATCAACCAGCCAGGCAGCATTCAGCAGCAACGTTGAAATTGCTACGTGTGAGGCCCATTGCTTCCCACCAGTCAGCCAATACTGATTCCCACAGCTTTTTACAGATCTGAGCATCGGGGTCAGTAATAGCGACAGCGGGAGCCAAACAAAAAGTAGAGGGGATATGGGACAGGCTGGAGAAGTTTGCCAACATTTCTCACTCACATACAGACATGCAGTACGAGAGCGACAGAGATAGGGAAAGAGACTACGCGAGTCAAGCACATTCTTCACATACATGGGGGCGCTAGCTATAGCTACAGCCAGTTCGCAGTTCATGGAGGTTGGACGGCCTAAAGTCGGAGGTATGGCAAGTAAACTTAGTGCCAGGACGAGATCGCCAGGAGTAGAAGACGGGAGAGAAATTCCCTCCGGAATAGTCGCGGCGGTTAAGAGGCTGGCAAATCAAAGGCAAACCGATCGGTCTCTATCATCTGCAAATCCTTCAATTTTCTTTTCCGCCTTCCAGTGGTAGCGGGTAGTGGTAAGCGCCAGTAGCAGCTTTCGGAGTAGCAGCAGGGGAGAAAAGGGCAAGAAATCGTAGTAAGCGGCGAATGACGACCTTTGAGAAAACGAAACCGCCGTTCCCGCACTCGCTTCGTCTAGTACTGCTGCTGCTGCTGCTGCTGCCACAGGAAAAGAATTTAGATCATCTGCCAGCACGCCGGCCGCTCCCGGCGGCATCGTCGCTGCCACAGCGCGCAACGCAGAGCACAGTAACAATCGTGATCGCGATAGTGGTCGTGGTCTACAAGGCGCGCCAGCAGCCTTCGCCGTTGTGCGTTTGGGATACACTATTCCATCTAGCTAAATCTCCGCCAGGACAGACCGACTGACGGACGGACGAACGGACGAACGGATGGATGGACGGACGGACGGACGGACGGACGGACGGGGCACGAACGGAGCAAGTGTATCCTTTCGAAAATAGGTATTCCACATTCGTCGAGCTTTGCTAGCAACAGCAACGGTGCCGAGGTAGCGAACGATGGCAAGGCGCATCAAGCCAAAGCATCACAATACGCACCACATCTTTTCTTCCCTTCTTGCTTCCAATAATCTCGTCTTCTACTCCTGCTTATTTTAGCCAATGGAGCCAGCAGGAAAGACCACGAACAATTCAAGCCATCTCCTGAGCCCGTGGATAAGCCATGATCAAATCGGCTCAAGATGAGCTCCATCGGCTTGTGCTCGCTCACCCTACCTTTGTCGCCGTCCCTTCTCCGTTTATGCCCTTCGCGCATGCCCATTTTCCTCCTGTGATCGCTGCTAGATCGGCAAACGATTTTCAACTACCAACCACGTACGTGTCTATGTGTCACGCAGACCGACTTTTCCGAAACTGCTAAAAGCCGAGCTCACATTGCTGATGGTGGCCAAGATCCAAACCAAGTCAGTTGGGCTGACATTTAGGAAGGCAAAGGGAAGTATTCTATCAACGAGTAGAGAAGTAGTGGACGACACCGCGAAGCTAACAGATCAACAACATATAATAGCGGGAATAGATGCGGTGTAGCTAGGCAAAGTAAAGTCGGATGAGTCTTGACCTGTGTCGGGTCCGGATACGGTCTCGTCAAAACCAGCAGATAGACATTCCGCGGCGGCGATAACTGCAGCTTCGGTAAGTGGCAAGGTCCTAGTGAGAACCGGCTACGGACGCTGAACGAGTAGCGTCGCCATTAGAGTAGGAGCTTGAAGATTTGTTTCGAAGCTAAACTCTAGCGAACGGTGACAATTTGATATCAGCGAACGAAATAATTGGACCAATTACGATGTCAACAAAGGCTTCCCTTTCGTTATATAACAATAGTAATAGCAAGATTATATATATCCGATAAATGATAAGACATAGTAGTTTAAGCGTTACGATTAATATAAAACTAAGAAACAAATCAAGTAAGTATATACAAACGTGTCATATCTGCGTCATGTTGCCGCTACTCACCCTATATGAGCAGCTCTTTCTTCAACTGACCATTGTCACTACGTTATAGCAAATCAGCAGCCATTTGGTCCCTCCGTCGTACCGTTATGAAGGACAACTGAAAGCTATACAAAGCGGAAGAAGTTGCCGAGGGAACGAGATGCTTGTAACTTACCGCTAACACTGTCGGTTGTTTAGCTGCGACACCTGGTGGTGGTGACGGCAGCAAGTGGTTATTAAGAATAGATATAAACTTGCCGTCAGCGCAGAAAAGGAAGGTGTGGCACGAGAAAAGCAGATGGTCAGACCTAATAGGCCACTATTGGCGTTCGTCAGTTGCTGTTACGTTTAAAACCGAAACGAAACATTTGTTTTTTTAAAGGAAGCCTTAAAGCTTCCTATGCGGTGAAGCTGGATGGATAAAGATGTGAAAGCAGTGTTCGACGTTGCGTAGCGACGTGGAGAGTTAGCATCAGGCAGATAAGCCATATGTTTGGCCGAGACAACAGTATGTCAAGTATGCTTGCCCTTATCGAAAACCAGTTAAGTCGTTACATGTTCGCCGCGTACAAATCGATCTAGCAGAACGGCTACGTATGTTCACAGTACAGTACCACTCGCTTATCATCATCATTTGAACAGCGCAAGCTAGCCTACCTATAGTTGGCCTCTACTATATTTCTTCGATTACTTAGGCACTACATCATCCGCTGCGCATGAACCGAAAGTCACGCTGCCGCCAAACGGCAAATCAAGACGCAACGCTATATAACAATGTAACAGCATGTTACGGCTGTAGCAACAATGAACTCCGCTGTCGCCCGCGCCTGCTTTCAATGCTCTATAACACCGTGAAGCATTCTCGTGACGTTTCGGCTCAAACCTGCCCTACAATACCGTAATGGTAGTCAGGCTAGTTGGCGTCCTCCTAACTGAACTGCCAATTGTCTGGCTGTTTGACTGGTTAGCGATCGCCCTCTCGTATTGGCTTTTCGTTTGTTCGTTCACGTCTAATTCTCTTTTCGGTTCTCGTTGATAGTTTCACGCAACAGTCGCGTATAGTCTACTTGAGCATGGGGTTAATGCAGTGACTCGGCATCGTACAGTTGCCGGTAGAGCAACTAAACGGACGGGCAGAGACTGGCGAGTGGACGAGGGCCGCGTTTGCTAGTGGCTTTGGCGATGGCGGCCGCAGCAGCAAATGTAATAGTAGTTGTCGTCGTTGTGGTAGTCTGAACGATGACAACATGTCAAACAAACGGACGAGTTGAGGTACAATCATTGTGCCGATGGTGTCGGCAGCCATACATTGGCGTCGAAGGCGTCTGCGGATACTGTTCCAGCGGCAAAGACCCGATGCTCCGAGGCACTAACCTACAATTATGTCATTAACCTGGCAGGCGACGAGGTGATAAACACGACATTGTCGTTGTCGGCTTCGCCGCATCTTCTATCGTACTGTACATGACGCTGCACTCGCCTAATGAGCATCGCGCTCTTTTCGGCTAGTAACGGCCGGTATAATGAGTGTACCTCTATGCTGTTTACTACTGAGAATGTTGCTAACTACATAATAACTATAAATAACTTTAACTGTACTAGTGACACTTAGATGCGTCAACTGCCGGCTAACCGCAAAGATTGGCGCCGATCCCACCCGCTACCCGGCTCCCCTCCAACGTTATTCCACCCGCGTCTTTCAACTTCTCGAGGATTATTATTATTTTTATTATTTAAACTTGAGCTCGCCATATCGCTGTCTTTGCAACAGAAACATCGTTTGTCCTTTTCGTTCGTTCGACTTGCTGGACGTTGCCGACAACATCCATCTATTCCGTCTTCTGAGTCCTCTGCCGCTAGATCCAAAACAGTCGTGCTACTGTCGGCATAGCACATAAGACCTCATTCAATGATTATATACGCCAACACCGCAAATAATATTCTAATTGAAGCAAAACAACCCTGTAGGATAGCTGCATCAGTATTCCTAGAATTCGTCGGCCGTTCGTCTGAAACAGAATGTCAGCCTGTTGCCGCTATGGCGGACTCAGCGAGGCATTTCAGCGTCGACGAACCGCTCGCTCTCAGTTCACACTCGCTACTCACAATGTATTTCTCCATGTGGAACTACAGACACGGGTTCCGCCCATAACTCGACGCGTGATAGCCGACCACGACGATTATTAACAGTGACTAATATATATCAATTGTACCAATAACATAGTATGATTCTGTTGTTGCAGTTAAGCTGGATTGGCTTGTGACGATAGGCCGATTAGTCTAGGCAGCCCCGCTATTTCCAAGATGCTCGTTCCTTTCTAACTAAAAGCGTTGCGTTTTATTTGTCTGTGCGACTACAGATTATTTCGAGTAGCCGACGTTTTTTCTTTGTATTTGTTTTAAATTAGACCCAAATACATAATTACTACTCACCGGACTCCGAAGGCGTATCCGAAAGGACGTATTGCTCTTTTCTCCATGTGCTTCTTTTAGGTGATGGTCCAGGCGTAGCGACAGTGATCGGCTGTCCGTTGCTAAGTTCCCCATCGGCCTCGTAGTTTTGGCGGGCGTTTGGCTGGTAGTAACAATGGTCAGAGTGTGGCGTATAGCTAAGAACGGCTGACGGGTCTACAAAGTTAGATACAGAAACAGCTTCGAGTTCTGACTGTTCGGTGGAGAATTTCAGATCCGAGGTCAGATGTGAGCCAGTTCCACAGTGGCGAAGGGGCGATGATGCCGGTGTTAGCAGCTGGATATCGGAATTCTCCGACGGATAACGTATCCGCTGTTGCTTACAACTGTGGTCACAGTCGCCTGACCACATGCAGTCATGGCGCAGCTCTGAGGAACTTGCGCTGGGCTGACTCGCACTAGCCAAACTGCTGTGCAAAAGCGCCTGTGGATTCCAACTGTTGCTGCTGGGTGACGAACTCAGGAAATCGTCAATAGGGCTGAAGTCGAGACCGATGTCCTCGAGAATGGCAAGCGCCTCGGCTTCCCCAATCAGCTCGATCAGGTCTCGCTCCTTCAGATCATTTGTGTTGTCCTCATCTGTCGCCTGGCTGCTTTCGGGTGAACGCGGCGGTGTCGGTAGCGTTGGATTCCAATCTTCATCGCTTAACTGCTGCCCAATAAAAAGGTCGTTCTTTGACGACAACATACTGCTGCTGCTGCTATTATTATTGTTTAGGCTGTCTAAACAATTGCTGAGACCGGAGCTGTTCAAGCTGATACCCTCAATCTGGCCTCGATGCTCGCTTGATAGTACTGCAGCGTTTTGCGAAATCATCTCATTGAAGGAGGAGCCCAATGAGACACTGCAATGTAGAAACGGGACAGGAACAAGAAAACAGAAAAAAAAAAGCAAACAAAAACCGGATATTAATTTCTCGTCATGTCTTATGATACGCATAATCAACGTTGACATCGAGTA